TAATCTATTGAAAGATTTTAAGACATAGGTTCATAGGAAAGCCGTCGAAAATCTCTAGAAAGTAACCAAAAATCAGCAAAAAGGTGCTCTACAGCTTATTACTCTTCCTCTTTGTCAAGCATCATCAGAAACATCAGCAATATTCTGAAAAAGATGTTGCTAAAAGTGTACATTTCAGGCCTACAGCTCGTTGTAAGTCGATGGAAAATCCGAGACAACGCTGAATGGGTGGCAGCATAAATTGTACAGAACTCCGTCATTCTTCACGCCTGCCGGATGGCAGAAGGCCCAGAGAAGCAGCATGATATCCTTCACTCATGAAAGTAACAATTATACTGTACATTATTGCGATGCCTTGCTATTTAAAAAATTTGTCTGAGTTTGACAATTGCTATTCGAACAATGCATCATTTAAAATAAGACTTGATGTCAACGCCATGGAAACTCGCACCCAAAGTATAGGTTAGAATCTTAAACTGGTCAAATTCAATTATTTTAACCACGTATCGTTTCTTGTAAATCCATCAGTGTGAAAATGGAAGGGCAAACATTCACTGCCTAAATTTACAGTGAAAATAAGGATTATTTCAAACAGAAGGTTTCTTCCTCCCCTCTATTTCGCTGCAGAACCGAAAGATAGACAGGGATCTCAACACAGACCATTTTGGAGTCACCGTAGCCAAAAGTCTACACTTTGATGCACATACAGAAAAGATACTCATCAACGTTCGACGGTTCAAAATTTGAATCAGACTTTGCAGAACTACGAAAGGAATTTTCTCAAATTGATCTTTTCATCCTAACTATACATTTAGATATTCATTTGCATTAACTTTTTGTTCAACAATCCGTAGCTCTTTCATCAATATTTATTCCTTCCTTCATTATTGCGTACTAGATTTGTTCTTGTGCGTTAGATGTATGTTATTACACCGATGAGTCAGTGATCCCTGAAATGTTAGTCTGTCCCCTTTATTTTCTGTTTTTGCTCATTTAAGCAGCAAACCCTTTTGATTTGATTCAATACATTGAATGTGTTTAGACTACTGTGTTCAGATAGTTGCATCTGAAAGCAATATATTTCACCAAAACACGTAATGTTCACATATGGGAAAGGGGGTGGGGAAGAAATGTTTCAAATTTGCTTTGAATACTCCTTATTACAAATTCTAGTTTCTAACGACAATTAACTTTTCATACCGTATATGAAGCGAATATCCTCACTTGAAAATGGTCTTTGACACTATGCTTATTAAGTTTCTGTAGGCGAAAATGAGAAATGAGGCAAAAGAAAACTGAAAGTAAAATCAGAGACTCGCCTGAGTTTTCCTGCAGATCACCATTAGACATATCCGATTCCATGGAGAGGTGTTTCGAATTCACAGAAACGTCCATGTCGTCGATTCCTGAATCGCGTATGGACTTCCTCTTATTAATCCAAGCCCCAAGAGCAGCGTTTATTGAGTTTTGCTCCTGATCAGCTTCTGGACTGCGCACATCCACATCTTCGATGCCAGAGTCTCGAATCGACTGGCCGTTGTTCGTCCATTTAACGTTCCCATTAGCAAACGGACTAGAGCTTGGAGAGACTTCTTGCTGTCTCTTCGAAGATTTGCGGCTGACCGTCTTCTCATTGGAATTCAGCTGGTCCAGGAATTCGTCCAGAGTCTCAGCCGTCGTATAGGGGGGCGTGGTACCTGCTAAGCGCTGCACTTTCTTCTGTTGCAGCTTATTTGAACGCAACAGGCGCTGGATGTTCACGGAGGCTTCTTCGAGAGGTGGTGAGGAAACCTTTGTATTGAGAACAACAGACGGGCGTTCCCTTTCACAGCCCATACCATCGCTTACGTTTATCAATGAACCGGTAGACAACAGCTTGTTTGTGCTTTGACGCTTAGGTGTGTATTCCCAGCCATTGATCACCGCACGGTTCTCCTTGCCGTCGACACAGTTGGTCGCTCGTAAGTCAGAAATCTTAGTCAAAGACATCCCTGAATCTTTTCTGTCGGTTCTTTGATGAGACAGGGTGAAGGAAAACCCGCCTTTTAGCTTCTTGTTTTCTTCCATGCTTTGAATGACTTTTGCCTTGAAATTGGCGAATATTCTGAAACATTCTTCCAACTTAAACGTTTCATGGTCCTCACAGAAGAATTCGGCGAGTTCAACCCTCATTCTCTCTATGGTAATCAGCTGTTCTTCAAACGACTGCATTTGCTCCTTGGCTTTCGACAAAAAGTCTTGAAGGTACCTGACAATGCTTTCACAGTCGCACATAACCAGCTCGTTCGATATCCGTTGCGTCTTTTCGCTCAGTGAACGATAGTCAGAGATTATTAAGTCGACAGAAAACCTTGTCGCTTCATCCAGGTACTTCGAATCATCCAGAAAATTCAGTAGATGAGGGTACTTCCTTTCGGCTTCCTAAATCAGGCTGGGATTTTAAATCAGTTTCAAATCTGCGTAATGCGACAAATCATACAATCAGCTGACAACACAACTTTCATGAACGCCGGTGGCATGAATACCTGGCTATGAGCTTGAAAATAAATCACAATTACAGAAAGTTTTAGACGAGTTAAACATATGGGTTTAAAGCCATAACAATATGCATGGAGCGTTTCGAACCTGCCATCGCATAACATCAAACCAAAAAATAAAACCCTTCGTCTGCGAATAATAAGAAAACGGCATCTTTGTTGTATGTACAAAAAGGTACTTCTCTAAACAACCTAAAAAACTGTGCAAAGAGGGCATTTCGCTCATAGAAAGTAAATAGAATAAATGGAGTGATGAATCGCTTTGTATGCTGATAGGCTACGAATGAGTAAACTTTTCATATCGTTTTCACAAACCAGCCCATGCAAATTGTACAGTTTCAAACGTGCATCTCTGACCAGGTTAGGATTTAGCGTTAAAACAGATATGGTAAACACTTTTGTTCGTAGGAATACAAACAATACCTAAGGAGAAGTGCAGCATTTATGAAAAATAGCAGCGAATTTTTCACAATTTAACACAGGAACGGGTATACCGCAGCCCAATAAAAGAAACAATCAAAAATCAGCAAAAGAAACGGTGGAAAGGGCGGCTTTCAAACTGTCCAATAACGGTCGAACAGTCTGCATCATACCCGTGTCTCCATGAGAAGCTGTTAAACTCCATATAGGTCAGTCTTCAGGTATTATCTCGCTCTTTGCAGTCAGTTAGCTTGCGTGAAATCCTTCTAACCGCATCAGAAAAGCAATACTGTATCAATACTGTCACTTTAAAATACGGATCAATCTCTGCCAGAGAAACGGATTCGGAAGCAGGTTCTTTAAAATTAGCAAGCATCACTTTTCGTATTTAGAACATGGACTGATGATAATAAAATACAAAAACGAAAACAACATTGAGAGCTGTGAGGCTGATCAAATGTTCCTCTAAACTACAAATAAATCAAAAATAAATATTCTTCGTTAGTAAAACACTCAGTAAATGAAGACCATCCTTCGTTTGGCAAAAATAAGAAGGATATAGTGGGCAAAGAACTAACAAGACTTCAAGACCAAGGAAGCTGTCCCTACGCATGCACTAAAATGCTTAAGCAAAAATAATGGCAAGCGTTAATGACTTGTCAGGGAAGAAAAACAAAGGAGCTTACGAAGTAGATTCATATAAAGGTGATCATGGAA